TTATAGTGTAACTACGTCTGCCTCTGTGCGACATCGGAGGCTCTCAACAACGATTCTCATTCAGCCATGTGAGAAGTCATCGAAGCTGCAGAGACACCGCTATCTGCAGGTTCCACCCACGCGTCTCAACACGCATTCATCTCCAGATGTAGTGTTTCGATTGTAGACAGGGCCAAGGATGGTTGCACCTCTTCTGGATGACTTTTGTGCATTTTACATTTGATAAAGCAGAAATGATGCCACCTCACTCAGATACATACACATATCCATGTAAATATATATGTAAATATAATAACAATGTTGTTGAGATGTTTTATTCAGTAAGAAGGCATGCAGACAAATCAAACCTCCCGACTGGGGAGCTGTTGACAACCAAAACTCAAAGAAATGTCCTTTGTCGAAACCACCCTAACCTTGTACCCGCCCTCTCCCCATTTACTTTAACCAATAAACATGAAAAACCAAAACAGCCTGGATGTTCAAAGAATGTGAATGCCAGGGAAGAGGCGATCAACGAGCCTAGTTCTACCCTGGTGAGAGCGCCGGTGAACCTTGATCCTTTGGGAGACAACATGAACTTTGAAGAGTGGCACAATGCTGACAAATTCAACCTCTATCTCCATCCCACCCCCAAAAAATATTCCCCGCAATTTTTTCTGCTTCAAATGACGCCGAAATCACCTACAATACCGCTATTGAGCAATATTTCGACACGCTGAATGAACTAGTCACCGATCGGGGAAAATAGGTCCTCGCTTGAGACATCTTCCTCTGTTAAAAGGCTAACAAAAACGACGAATGATACGCTAAGAAACTTTAACATCTGGCGAAGTGTGCTTTTAGTGGTGGTGCTCCAAACTAGGCAGCAATTTTGGTAACGGTCCAGTTCAGACACGGAGTTCGACCTCCACCAACGGATTGCCTACTTCAGTTCTTAAATATTACATTGAAGAGGATGCCAATCTAATGGTACGATGCTTTTAAAGCATTGGAATGTATTTCTTTCTGATGCGCATTAAGGTGCAAGAGCAAAACAACCTCCGTTGATTTAACACAGGCCTAGGTGGCAAGGATTTCTGATTGTAGATATGTCATCCTGACATGCTAATGCAAGACTGGCGCGTGTAAATTTAT